CTCTGACTAGTAATACCTTGTAAACTTGTGGAGTCAGAACTGCACTCTGAAGCAGCAACTCTATTCTGTGACACTCTATTCAACAATGGCTTACCAGTTGCAACTACAAACTTCTTGACCGCACCGTTATCGTCACACAATTCGGAGTCAGGCCTGGAGTTTACATTTAGCTTATCACTGAACTTGCTCACTGGTTCACAGTTCACCTTTGTATGCACCTCTTGCAAACGTGTAAAACACAACCGTGTTTGTCTTGCATCTTGTAAATTATCTGTTGAGGATGTACTACGAAACCTGTTACACTCACTAGGTCTATATGCATTACTAGACATCATGGAGCCTTCTCGATATCCACCTCTCTGAGGCCTATTCGTCATCAATGATTGCATTTTGCACTCAGACTGCTCTATTCTAGGGGTGAGATTCAATATACTGGCAAAATTGCTCATAGATTGATTGACACTATCTTTTACTAGTTTCAGGATATCATCAAACCTTGGCTCGATACCCTCATCCTCCATACGGGAGCTTATCTTCACCCACTTCCTTTGCAGTCGGGTAGGTAGACGTCTTGCTATTACTTCTAGTATAAAACTCGAGTTGAGGTCACTCATTCGATTCATCGAAATCATTCCATTCTTGTAAATTAGCAAATTATCCAAAAACTCAGTGAGTGCCTGGGAGTCATCCTGTAATTGACCACCATTACCCTTAACAGCCTCGAATAATTTCCCTGCAATCATCGAAGGTCTTCCAAACCTTTGACGTAATATGCTCATAGCCTCAGCGTATCCCTCTTTAGGGGGCATGAACTTACAGCACTGTATAGCTCTTGCAGCATCTCCAGTGCAATACCTCATCAAATACATCAATTTCAATTCATCACTTAATAAAAAACTACTCAGCATGATCTCAAACTCCTTTACAAATTGTAAATAATCAGCCGGGTTTCCATCGAAACACAGTGGTTCAAATTTAGGGAGTTTGATGTTCCTATTATCCCTGAACGGCGAAACAGTAACATCAACCATGTCATGCTTAACATCAGACACATCGTTACAATTAACAGACAAGTCAACATGACTTACTTTCCTGTTTGCATCCAAGACACTCTGTCCCTTCTTTGACCCAGGCATTGTTGAACTTGACCCAATTCCAAAAATGTTCCAGATATTGCTTGTTCAAAGAGGACTTGACCGGCACCAGGAGAGATGAACGGTGACTATCCAAACTTTCACCAACTGTCTGAATCCGCCAGATCTGTTTCCACCGTCTGAAACTGTCAGCCACGTCTCATAAACCGTCAATGCCCAGCTCTTGCTACGCTGGGACTCACGTTGTTCCTTGAATTTTCTCAGAAACGCTTAGTAATAACGGACGAAAAAACCAAAACACCGATCTGCCGCTTGTTATTTGTTTATTGTTACACCAACATATAAAAGGAATAACTGAACTAAGCAACTAAGGTCTGAAAACAAATATTACAATAATAAATCTCTGTATTACTTCTGACGATGTTTCACTCTTCTTTCTGAACAGCGACCGGTGAGACGATGACTGCCGTATTGATGCCTCCGCGAAAATTGGGGAAGTTGATTTTGAGCAAACAACCATGAATTGATCGTTCAATCTTCAACTCCATTGACAACATATGTGGAATTGACCAGACATGTCACTACTAATTATCACTGGTAACAAATTTGTAACGATAACAAGAATATACTGCATGTTAACGCTAATATAACTTAATGACAAACATCTCTTTTGAATGCACTACTCAATAAAACACGTAACCTCAATATCTTAAACTCTGTAGGTGACAACATTCACAAAAGTTATTGTTCAAAATTAACAAGTAGGATATCCAATGAGGAATAGGGAATATATCCATTAGTGACTTAGCACAATACAAAACCAATGACACTGGGAATCACTGTCTTCAAAAACGAACCATATGAGGTCACCGAAAATACCAAGTAGCCAAGAAAAGAAGACGGGTTCACAGGATGCACACGTGAATATCATTACACATTTGGTGATTAACGAATTAAAACGGTAAGAATTACTAAAATTTCATATTGGTGAGTGGTTACGTCAGTTTATATTTTTTATAGAGGTGTATATAGTAACCATTTCCAAACCTTACGTCCATAGCTTTCAAAAATCTTGAACAATACGTCTATGTGATTCCAAGATAATTCTGCCAATTCTCCCCGTATAAGCGCACATAATGTGGATTTAGGATAGTAGAAAAAAGGCGGGGAACTCAAGAAAGCGAACACAATGATAGGATACAGTTACGGGCACCTTAGATGTCCTTACGCACCTGACCACAACGACGTTTAAGTAATTCAAATCCAACAAAGTACTAGAATTTGTTGTTGTGTGCATTTAACTTATTTCAAATTTTTGGCGGAAAACAGTGAATGCTGTATCTGTTCGTAGAACATACTGATATTTCTGCTCAAATATGGACATCAATTATTGCTTGTATCCATAGCTTCCACTGAATTTCAGCGATCAAAACACCACACAAAAAAGCGGAAGCACGAATTCGACATCAGCCATGTTCTCAGGTTCCCGCAACAGAAATCGGTGCTGTACGAGAGCTGATCGGAAAATTTACGGCCAAGTAAAGGTTGCTGCCAAGCTGCAAAGACATATTCTAAATCCCGTCAAAGGAATATACTCGAAGCATACTCGGTACAACAAATAATCATTGCATGAACCATATATTTAAGTGTCCTGCGGCATAAACAACGCATCCACACTGAGGAAGAGTATTGAACAATGTTTCTCAAATAAAGTCACACAATAACAACAAAATAAGCACCAAAATCATGTCAACTGTATTTCTTTAACAAAATGGCGCAAACAAGCCTCAAATCGTGTCAGCGACGTCTCGTAAACCGTCAATGCCCAGCTCTTGCTACGCTGGGACTCACGTTGTTCCTTGAATTTTCTCAGAAACGCTTAGTAATAACGGACGCAAAAACTAAAACCCAGATTGGCAACTCGAGAATTCTTTATTGTAACATCAACATATAAAAAATGTTTCCACCAAGGTCTGTGAACAAATATTACAATAAGAAATCACAATATTACTTCTGACGGTTGTCTCCTGACATCTTTCTGAACAGCGACCGATGAGACGATGACTAGCTGATTGATACCTCCGCGATAATTGGGGAAGTTGGGTTTGAGCAAACAACCATGAATTGATCGTTCAATCTTCATCTGCATTTACAATTCGTATCAACTATTTTGCGCAAATGCCGACAATGTAAAGCAGATGGTGCCATTTTATAAAGGGGGTATTCCATATAATAGCCTTCGCTTCTGTATGCAGTAGGGATATTGATCTACTGCTACATTTTCGTTGTCTTTTTCTTTGTATTTTAGCCTGCAGCATAACAATTCTCATTATTCAAGTGATGGTTTGTAGGTATTTGATAACTAATGTCAGCTCATGATGAAATCCTGAAATTCTCATTATCCCTTTCAGTGTGCGGTAGCTTCTGCCTCGATTAATGTTAGACACTTCCGTCAACAGATAACTTCTCCATCGTATCTGTGGCTCGGATGATTTTCCCTTTGCACTGCAACATTTTGAAACCTAAGCTAATGGTTGTTGGCTTCTAATGTTGATCATAATCTCGCAACATCGATAACCGTCGGGCTTTCAAAGCCTACCATTCCTTCAAACTCATATGATTTATCTAACGAACTGGTGGCAAAAGCGCCGCAAACAGCCCTTTCAGGTGAATGCCTTCGCATTCCACCCGCAGAGGTTTGAGAAAAGTTCAACTCCGAACTTCTGCTCTGCGAAAACCTCTAATATTGAGAATTTCCTCTTTGTTTCTGCACTGTTCATTCATTTTTGATGCCGTCTTCTAAGTTTTCACGAACTTAGATATGCGATCTCTTGAGAATTGAATTTTTCGGAAGATGCACCGACCAACCTACTGTACAGTTTGAGTGTTTGTAAGTTAAGTGCATAGTGTGAAACTTTGGAGGTAGCCTCTCTATGGATGTTTTGATTAGACAGAGGTTGTGTTCGTATCTGGCCTTGGGGCCTGAAACTTTAGACAATTTCAGCATGTAGAAAATGAAGGTTTTCTTACAGGGATCAGGTTTGCTGTGGTTTGGATTGTTTGTTTTGTTGTAAAAATATCTCCTCGTCCTTCAAGAGCGGCACATTCTTTAGAGTTTGTGCCTCATTTTTGCTGACATTTGATGTAGATGTCTGACCACTGCTGAGACATTTATGGGACGAACCAGTCTTATTGTATCTACGGCTTCCTGGTGATGGTTGGCCAAGGATTCTTCCCAGTTATCCAAGAACTGGTTGCTTCCATCCTGCTATGGAGTACCTCTGCAGTACCTCGTTAAGGGTCAAAACGGCTGGCTTCATGTCAAAACAGGCATTACACACTCAGTCGGAGAAGAGCTTGAAGAAACGCTGGTATAATGCTGGGACCAGGTAGGTGTATGTGTTGCAAAACCACCGATTTTAGTTGTCACATTACATACACACATGTTGCTGGACAGCAAAACCATAGACCACCACAAAAGCTCTTCCTTGCAGACATAAATTAAAAGCATAAATATGTTACTGAAGAAAAGATCACGTATATGACCTATGGAAGTAAAATGGCATTACCATGATGGAGAAGACTGCAGGTTTGCAAAAAATGTAAGAGCAGAGAAAGCAGTTGACAGATAAGTAACCTTAAAAATTAGACTGAACACTAATAACTCTGCTTGGCATCTGCCTTTGTACTGTACAGTGCTACAAAACCTGGGTTGTAACAAGTGTATGGAAAAATTAGCTTCATTTTTCACTGTCCTCACGAAGAGTAGTTAAAAATTTGGAGAACTCCTTCAAGTTTTCACCAACAAAGTTAATGCTGCAATTTATACTTCTCTGTCACCAGTATTCATTACTCCGTAGGACATAGTGATAAAATTCAAGATGTTTTACCACATCAGTAGTAATTGTCGGTAGGGTCACTGTCTCGCAAATGTCTGAAGCGCAATATCTAATATGCGGGTGATATGGTGAAAGGAATCAATAGATGTAGTCATACGCTTATAATGACTTGTTTTAATAATTCTTCCATAAATGTAATTCCTTTCCCGCTACTATAACTTCATCTAAGATGAGGCTGTGTCAGAAACTGTGCTTTGTTGGAGCAATGTCGGTTATCTTGGCGACAGTGTGCTTCGCAATTGTCAAACCTGCTCTCATTTTATACAGTTTCTCCATCTTGTTCTTGATACTGATTTTGATACGAGGATATAACTACTGGTAAATTGTGTTCGACTTTCAGGATTAATGGATTCAGGAAAAATAAGTATCTACTGTTCATGTTGGACCAATGTTATTTTATAAACTATGTGTCTTTGATTTTCATATGGTGAGAACATTTGTACATCATTCTATTTTTTAAGGATCATGCCCCAATCACACATAATGCAGATGTTTCAATTCGGCCTGGCTAATGCTCATGCATATGGAGGAACGTTTCTCTTCCGCAATGCACTTGTCCTCCATGATATCCAGAGGCTTACGTCGTGCTTTATACATGTTCTTCCAGCTCTGTTCTCTTTCTTGTGAGTATTTTTGGTTATTCAATTTCTGGTCATATGTTGACTTTAATATTAGTACACTAGTGGACTATCGATAGTGATAGCTGTGATCACAACTGTTTTAGTACCATCGAAATATATCTAGGAGGAAAACGAAGTTATCAATACAAAAAACTTGAGACTACTATTTATTTGTAAATTATAAGTCCCTCCGTGAGCGACTTATTCAGTCTTAAACCTGAAGAAGCCATATCTCTATATGCCAAAACACTGCATACCTTTAAGGCAGCAAGTGAACAAATGTGCAAATTAGAGAAACTTTGACGTGAACTGAATGCAGTGGTGATGTCAGTTTCTATATTTAATGATATAGTGTAAAAGTGGTGAGGATATTCGCTATTAAATGTATATATATCCTGTTTCCGTCTTTACTCCCATGTAGTTTGTTTTTCTCTGTAATTAGGTCTAAGTCGCCTTAATTTCATACTTCTTGATGAACTTCATAACGTATATGCTACGATGAAGTATCAGGTAGGCAGGTTTATGTGCAGGCTTTTCGTTCGCAGTCAGAGCATCGTCTTGACGAAGAACACCACACATCAGTGTTCCAAAGGAGCTTTTTCACTCTCGTAATTTCTTAAGATTTTTATTTGAAATACTATTTTTGTCTACAGAATCAGATGGTATCCTTCAGAGACATCAGTATGTTGGTATACTAACTTATTCGATTCACATGCATCTCGAGGACTGTTATTTTGGAATACTGATGTTGATTGGTTTTGGCTTGTTGCGGCTCCCTCTTTGTTTCATCTTATACGTGAAGTGAGTGAATGAGTTTATCTTTAAATATGCATATATATATATATATATATATATATATATATAAGCTTCTAATACAACCCACCGTTTAGTTTACCTCATATGCATTCAGCGGATGCATAATTCGAAATTACAAAAGTCGGCGGTGAGCATCGCTGGTTTCTCTTGCTCGTGTAGATGTTTCAGATTGCTCACATAACTTTCATATTTTGTTTATATAATTACATAATTTCTTATCCTTCGACTGTATCACTAATAATATTTTTCGTTATCTCTTGTATCGGTGTTGCACGTGTCAGATGAACAAATATTTATCGATCAACTTCCTCCAGCACCTAGAGAGATAGAGATAGAGAGAGAAAAAACTGTGTACACATGGCCCCCGCCAACCAAACCACGTTCATACACCATTTGTTTGTATCACACTCCCTTCACTGGTTTGGAATCACTGTCTACCAACTTCCTAAGGTAGAGTTTCTGAGTCTCATTTCGATGCTAAGTGTCGGATATTTACATTCACTTTACTAATTTTATAGGGACATCATCAAGGTAATGAATAAGACTTACCCGACATAGGCTATAAACACCGTGCATTTAGAAGAAGACAACAGAATTTTCTCACTCTTAGCCGACCGACAACTGCTACCTTTTCGTAGTGGTCGCGTTTAAATACTGCAGTGACCCAACAAGCTAAACTGGCTGGGACTCATGTCCCTGCAGGTCCTACCATGTCAGGAAGGTTGTTTGGATAGCGGTTAGACTAAAAGCAGTTACCATGGGGTACATGGGCTCCAGAATCCAATGGGATCAAATGGCGTATGAACCCAATCCATCTTCACTTTCTCCTGCATATTTGTTGGTCGGCGATTGCTTCTTGTTTCGTTTGTTCCTAGCCATAGTTTCTTGTTGGTGATTCTTTCCGGCCCGGCCATCTGATCTTCAGTATAGAGCCAGCAAAGACAGTTGCTGATAAAGGTGTGGTCTGCAACAGGCTGTTGGAAATATTCTTTCTGACCCACCCGCCATGTTTCTGATCCGTATAGAAGAGCTGACTGACTTGACGTTTGTATTGAAAATCCGAGCGAATTTTGTTGTTGATGCTGAGCGACGAAGATTTCCAGATTGGTTTCAGTTGGTTGATGAATGTATTTCTCGTTCACCTTCCCGATTCTCACTCGATTTGACATCCTCGTCCGTTCCGACTTCCTGTAGTTGAGACAATGCTCCCTAGATGAGTGGATGAAGTAACCTCTTTCAAATCCTTCCCGTTGATGGTGATTGGCGCTGGCTGTTCCTGCTGTTGTTGTTGTTGTTGGTTATTTTCATAACCTCCATCTTGTCTATGTTCACCTGGATTTCTGTCTTCACCGGCTGCTTCTTCGACCAGTTTGTCGGTTTTCGCTTGTAAGTCTTAGATTTTGTGTGACATCAAACAAAAATCATCCACACGCGAAATCCAAGTCTTCTAGGTTCTTTACGTCTACCTGTCCAGGATATCCCTGTCTCCTCGTTTCCCACTCAGAGTCTGACGCGTAATCTAGTCCACCACAATTAGGAATATCATCGTGGGTGAAAATAAGCACCCTTGTCTGACTCGTGTGTTTACTCCAAACGCCTCGCTGAGTCTTCCGTTGCGGATCACTTGGCAGGTGCCGTTGTCGTACAGCTGTACTCGAGTAGTTTCCGAATTACTTCGCGGTCAACCCTGTCGAACGCCTTCTCAAAGTCTATAAAGTTGAGGTAGAGGTTTTGATTGCCATTCCATGATTTGTTCGATGATGATGCGTAGAGTTGCAATTTGGTCAAAACATGATTTGCCTTTCCTGAATCCAGCTTGTTCTGGTCGGAGTTCTGTATCCAGTGCGTCCTTTATTCTCTCCAGGATGATGCGACTCAGGATTTTACCTGGCGTCGATAGGAGCATGATTCCTCGCCAGTTCTTGCAGAGTGAGGCGTAAGTCGCCCTTCTTTGGTAGTTTCACGAGGTAACCTTTCCTCCAGTCAGTGGGCACCTTTCCCTACATATTTTTAAATTGATATGTTAACACCATTATGTTTTTATAGAAACCACTGAAGCGAACAATTTATTTCCACCAAAGTACATGATCTTGAAACCAACTAGTTAAAATTACTCTGTTCATTAGCCACTGACTTTAAAACAGAATTTTCAAGTTTCAGATGAAATGTATTTTGTGAAACCACCTAAGTAAAGATAATAACAAGTACTCAGCAGTGCCTTAAAGTGGCAATCACATCATATCATTAATTGGCAAAAACTGGTTGTTTTCTAAGTTGCATGAAGTTGTTGATAAGTTTGTGTATCTGGGTAGTTGTGTGAGTGCTGGCGGAGGGGTGAAGGTTGAGATTTCCAACCGTATAATGAAGGCTAGGGTGGCATGCATCAACTTGAGCCACCTCTGGCGCCGTCGCGACGTTAGCCTGGCTGTCAAAGGTCGGGTATACAATGCTTCGGGGCGGGCTGTCTTGCTCCACGCTTCTGAAACCTGGCCTCTCCGAGCTGAGGATGTGCGCCGACTCTGCGTGTTCGATCATCACTGTCTCCGCAGGATTGCTTGCGTTCGATGGCATCATCGCGTGAGTAATTCTGAGGTTCGAAGGCGTGTGTTTGAACACAGTAGAGGTCACCATTCATTGAGTGTCGTCATCTGGAAACACCGGCTCCGGTGGGTTGGACATGTGCTGCGAATGTCATCCCAGAGGCTTCCGTACAGGTTTCTGTTCACTAGCCCTGGGACGGGATGGAAAAGGCGGAGAGGTGGTCAGTGCATGACGTGGTGTCGTGGGATGAAGGATTTTTGTGCTAGATTAGCATCGGTTGGTGTGTCACGACTCCCTGGTTGGGGTCCATGAGATAGCTCGAATCGGTGGCTCGGAATGTTATCGGATATGGCCAAGAATCGTAATCAATGGCGAACGTGTTGCAATTTCCTTCTTTCTTCCCTTCGCGATAATAGTTAACGAATACGATTTGAGCTTGTTAAGTATGAGTGTTTTCCTTCCAGATGAAGTTCTTTATCCGTCCTCTACTTATATTTTTACTTTTAATTTATGTTGTTTTGTTATTATGTGGCTCATCTTTCTTGGTGCCATATTGTACCAAGTTTTTTCTGCGTTTAAATAATTAATAAAATAATAACCTTCTTTCTTTGTCGGGCATAATACTAGCCTAGCAAGGTTTCGGAGTTCATCGGCCAGGGGTCGAACTTCAGACCACATGCGTGGCTGGTGAGCATTCTGCTGCTGGACCTTTCTCTCTCTCTCTATACATATATATACGCCTTATTGTTTCCTCTACAACTGTGTGAATAATATATGCGTTAAATCAAGCAACTGTACGTCATGTTGTTCACGACAATTAACTGTTTAGTCTGAATGCCTTTTTTTCTCCTACAATAATTCTTTGTTAATTAGTCCTCTTAAAAAATATATTTAAGTAACTTTTTGTATTGAATGGAGGATTTCACCATGAGCTGACATCAGTTAGAGAACCACTGGAAAACCAGCTGGGAGTACTGGACAGCTGTTTCGTCCTAGTTTGGGACTCTTCAGCAGTATGAATCCACCACCAGGGTTCGAACTCACGACCTTCTGGTTACAAGGTGAGCTCGTAGACCATTGAGCCACTGGGACCTGATCCAATGGTCCTTGAATTATAATTTCTGCCAATTCACGACATAGTGCGACCACTTCGCTGTCTTCTTCGATGAGTTACTGCCCCATCTTCGACCTGCTGTACCCTACTGGTTACGGCTTCCCACTAGAACCCCAGGTTAAGTGCCTGAATAGGGCCAGTCGCTAGTGAGCATCAGATTAATTTCCAAGTATTGGTTTTGTAGGGATTTTTTGTTTGATTGTATGGAGGATTTCACCATACAATCAAACAAAAATCCCTACAAAACCAATACGTGAAAAATAACTTTTTGTATATTGGTGGCCATCAATTGAGTCGAAAACACTCTTCATTTTGATATATCTGGATTATAGCTAGTGACAGTGTTTCGACTGAGATCCAAACTTTATCCACTGGATTGTAAACGCCGTCTACCCGCGCCCGTAATCCCTTCGATTGAATCTGACGCTGTCATCTCAATATCGCAATACTAAATTGACTAGACGTATATTGACAAAGCGATCATTTGTTGCTTTCTATCAATTTTACGCTTTATGTTTCAGGTACTCTATTATATTATTATCTATGGGTTTGTAAGACCTAGTGATGAATATCTGGACAGCTTTCGATATTTACATAAGAAGAAGATATTATGGCGTATCTTTTGGAAACATATTGATAAACGGTAAGCATTATTCTCTCGTAACTTTTTACTGTACTGTTTCAGCTTTCACTATCTTACTTTTTCTAACTATCCTAATTAATTATCCTTTGTTTTTACGGGTTGATCACGGATTGATATCCGTTGGAGAACCAGCCACTGGGAGTACTGGACAGCTGTTTCATCTTAGTTTTGGGAATCACCGACGTTACTGGTTAGGGTCGCGCTAAATCACGAATCGGTAGAAGTTAGAATTCATGAGCTATTGAATCGGGTTACAGTGGCTGAATGATATACGAGCTTGTCCTGTAACCAGAAGGTCTTGGGTTCGAACCCTCGTAGTGGGTGCGTCCTGCCAATGATTCCCAAACTTGGCTTATGAAACAGCTGTCCAGTACTCCCTGTGGCTGGCTTTCAATGGTTCTCTAACTGATATCAATCCGTAATCAACTCGTAAAAAAAACTAACCCTTACAAACTAACTATAGAAAATTATCCTTTGGTTTCCTTTTTTTACAATATATACCTGTGGGTGACTTTCATTGGCATAGATTCATTTGGTTATCTACCCTTTCTTTTTATTTAACTATGTATATGCATCGATTTTGACAAAGGAGTTAGTTTGTGCATTTTATTTACTTTTATTTACTTTAAACATTACCTCCATCCAGTGCTTGAGTAGTTATTATTGACGGGTGTGTATTTGATATCAAAAAGCACCTTATACTTGATGTGTTTAATTGCCTAACAGCTTTTACCTTTCCTATGGTTATTTTTTATGTGAAAGCGGTGTTAGTTAACTCTCCTAACAGTATGCTGTAGTAAATTAAACACCTTTATTTTGTTTAGCGTGCGTCGGTGGCATAGCGGTTAGGATGCTCGCCGACCATGCACATGGTCCGGGGATCGATCCTCGGCCGACGCACTCTTTCACCTCATTAAGCCAGAAATAATGCTGGTAAAGAGGAAAGGTTGGGCATGAGGCTAGCAACCCCATCCAGTAAAATAAACACTGCTACAGAAAGTTCAAACTACTAGCTGGAAGCCCTATATTCCACTGGGGAACGTGAAGGAAAAAAAGTTTCGTTTAGGTGTATATCATATATAAGATATTTATACTAGTCAAATACAGGTCTCCCAAATGTAACTGAACAAGTTGTAATACAATACTAATGATAACAGCAGAAGTAATAAATAGTACTGCAGCATCTTTATGCGGTATGCAGTAACACCAATGAATACGGTGGAATAAATTTATTAGATGGTTGGATAACACCTTGCTTGACCTAAGTTTCGTGCTTGTTGGCGCTCACTACTCAGCAAAGCATATCTGCAGCCTTCAAAGAACTCATGTCCTCTCTGAAATTCGAATCTGTGTCAGCCAGCACTGCAGTCAGAGATGTAACCACTGAGCTGTTTAGACTTCTGGCTGATCTTCTGTAGCAGACTGTATTAGATAGTTCGACAAAAAACTAGTTAGAAAGTAACTAGTTCATGCGTGTAGTTGTTTTTTTCTGGTTCGTGCTGAATTCCGTCAACCGATCATGGCCCCCAACAGCTGAATGCTAAGGTCTCTGTTTGCAGTACTGGGTGACATGAGTTCGAACCTCAGAGGGGATGTGCATTGCGATCGAGTTTCTCAGCATTCTGCTGAGAATAAATTGTTAAAGACTCTTCATGAAATTATTTGAAATTTATTTTATTTCATCTTAGACCATGGATTGATATCAGATAGAGAGAATTTTTGGGAAACCTGGGAGTACTGGACAGCTGTTTCGTCCTAGTTTGGGACTCATCGGTAGTACTTACCCACCGCAATGGTTCGAACCCAACACCTCTTGGTTACAAGGCAAGCTCGTATACCACTCAGCCCTTGGGACCTCAATTCAATAGCCCATGAATTCTAACTTCTATCAAATTTAGTGAGACGGACAACCAATGTCATCGGCGGGAACTCCACCCTCACTGCCAACAGGATGTACCACACCAGTCACTTTCTAAACTTGAACGAAGGAGACATCTGTCCAGTACTCCAGTGATGGTCTTCAATGGTTCTTTAGCTCATATCAATCCATGGTCAAACGCGGAACAAATAAAATCCCTACAAACTTATTCTTGAAAATTTATTTTATTCTTTTAAGCTCTGAGTGGAATACAGGGCTTCATGCCCAACCCCCTCCCTTTTTGTCGGACTTACTATCAACTTAGAGAGGTTTCCTAGTTCGTCGGCTGGTAATCGAACCCCACAACTTTTCGTGGCATCGTTCCTCGAGGGTTGTGCTAATCATCTCTGTATCTTTCTAATTTTAGTATATGTACTGCTGAAGTGTGTACACTTCATGAGCTAATAGCTTATAATTATTGACAACAGTGTACACTCTTTATTTTTTTCAGAAAACTCAACATTTCTATGGTTCATTTCATTCGATTATTCCTCATCCCACACATATGTATTGATTTTAGTATCAGTATATTTATGTTACCTTCTTTGGTGTATGATCTTTCAAAGTTTATCGACTTTAACTGTAAGCGGTCTGCGCAAAGCGCTTGAATTGATAAGAAGTCATTGTTATTTGGGTCAGGAATTGTAACAAATGTAAAGAAATAATATGATTTGTAGAGATTTGTAGAAAATACCCATCGAGACATTAAAGGGAAATGAACAAAAAGTTCAGCAAACAGATATCTGTCTTTTCGGTGATTTCATTTTCAAAAGCAACTGTACAATTGCATTTAAATACATTAATTTACATAGATACAATTTTCAATATTTGGTTTGTTAGGATTAGATTTATTTTTACGAGTTGATCACAGATTGATATCAGTTAGAGAACCATTAAAAACTAGAGAGTAACCGGAAGGTCCTGGGTTCAAACCTTGGCAGTGAGTGTGTACTGTCGATGATTCCCAAACTAGTCTGATGAAACAGCTGTCCAGTACTCCCTGTTGGTTTTCCAGTGGTTCTCTAATAGATACAGTTTTTATTTAATTCCACATAATTACGAAGGCGAATAAAGGTGACAATTACTTTCAACTTGGTGTGGATTACACAAGGCTTAGAAACAAAAAATTACACAGGATTAGAATATAATTGTAAAATAGTTATTCTAAACGAATTACAAGTGTGAGTAGGAGGAGCACGGAAACAAACTTATAACTGAAAAAAATAAAATGAATTGAATGAAGATGAAGAGAGAACAAAACAAAAATCCGAAGGTTAAGGGAATGTACTGAACTGGGTCCATGGTAGTTGTAAAAGCTGGACTATTTTCTTTTGAACACACACAGCTCTGGCTTTTCGATGCATTTGGCGAGGGTTTTAGCAGTAAAAAGAAGCTGCCTTTAGTAGATTTATGTTTACTTTGTAAATAACTCTAAATGACGAGTTATTTGAGATGTGTTCAGTTATGGCGCTTCTGATTGAACCAGTGCCTCCTCTTCACAGCCATGCTGGATGATGTTCTCCAACACGTTTTGATAAGATCCGACCTGTGTACTTAGCTATGCGCGAGCAGGTGAACTGGTATATGCAAATTAAAGTCGTCATATGCGGAAGTCTGTCCTTCACGTTACCCCGAAGTAGTTGGTGGCTAGAGAATATCATTTTTAAGGTTACTGCAGGTAAAGTCTTCCTCAGGGAACTGGGAGATATCTGTTGCTAGGTCTCTCCTGAATTCCAAATTCAAATAAAGTGTTTTCTTTGGCACTGAAGTGCATTCTTCCCTTTTTAGCTTTGGTTTTTAATGTTCTTCTCCACGAAACGCGGTGGGTATCCATTTTGAGTCAGGATGCTTTTGAAAAATAGAAGCTCTTCTTCTGGACAGTCATCGCTAAAAATTCTTCTGGTACGGTGGGCCACCGATATAATGAGAGCTCTTTTATGACTGATAGGCATCCAACTGTAGAAGTTTGTTAGTTGGCCATTCCACATTGGTTCTCCATGGATATTTGTGTAATAACAAGAACACTTTTTGGGATACCCTAAGCCTACTGCTTCAATATTTCACTTAGCAATTAATGTCATGTTTACATATTGGTGCGTTGAGCACCTTTTTTTTGAAGTTGTAAAACTTTATCAGAATTTAGGGAGGATCTTTGTTACTATTTAGAAAAAAGTGTGTTATCAAGCAAATAATGTTGGATCTCTGAAAAATAAAAGCATCATCAAAAAGAGTTGATTGCGTTACTATAACCAAGTTAGAGTATTTAAGAGTGTATCATTATTTGTTGTGTTAGGTGAATAGACAGTATTTTGATGTGGTTGTGTTGTCTGACCTGGATAGTTTATTTGTGAAGCTTTCATTGCCCTACTTACTAGGCAACATCTTCAGTGCATACTTCAATTTGTTGAAATGAGCTTTTAAGATTTCTCCACGAGTTTACTAGTCATCTCTCTTGATGACCACCTTGAACGTGATTGGTTGTTTTTGTGTATTTTGACACCCTCTAGACTACTTTTATTAGTATTGATGGTGATTGCTTCCTTGACCTGAAGTTTGACCTTTTGTGTGTGAAGTTTCAAGTTTAAGTCAAGGTAATAATCATCACCAATACCAATAAAAGTAGTCTAGAGGGTGTCAAAATACACAAAAACAACCAATCACGTTCAAGGTGGTCATCAGGAGAGATGACTAGTAAACTCGTGGAGAAATCTAAAAAGCTCATTTCAACAAATTGAAGTATGCACTGAAGATGTTGCCTCGTAAGTAGGGCAATGAAAGCTTCACAAATAAACTATCCAGGTCAGAGAACACAACCACATGAAAATCATCCACCTGAGCTACAAATCTTCTTCATCATATCTAAATCCTACTAGTAGACGGTTTTTTTTGTTGGTAACCATAGTTACATGATCTTTACGGCGTAATCTAAAGTGTAAGTATTCATATGTAAATTGTTGTACTCACTTTAATTATAACTGCTTAAGTGTGTAGTGCAGTTAAGTTATACAAACACACATACACACACAGTTCATGTGGATTATTGAACTGTAAGCTCGACTGTTTTTATTTGTTCAGTCTAGAC